TGGAACACATTGACCGGTTTTCAATGTATTCCAATGGGTTTTTTTCTTTCGCTTGACGATGATTTTGCTGTACAGCGATTTTGCTGGAACACATTATTGTCATCAAGCGAGGTACCACGGTACATCTAGACATAGAAATATTAGGCACAGTGCCGGGAAAACGTTACTTTAAAAAGATTACAGTTTGCAGAGTCCCCCAGCCAGGATGGGCATCAAACTAGATATTTTGGTTAGTATGTTGTGAGCCACTTCCTTAAATGCTGGAAGAACACTGGTCGTCGTTGCAGATGCCTTTACTCAACTCCGCCTCTTCCAGTGAGCTCTGTTTGGTGATAGGCCCTTAGAAGGTAAGCAAAGACTTAATTTGCAAATCTGGCTGCCCAGCCTCATATCCCTGAAGAAACGAGGTTATGGGATGGAAAATAGGCTACTAGCTTCTAAATGCACGCAAAATGTCTTGTCTCACTGGAGTGCCTCAGAAACTGGGTTTCTGGGTGCCGTCATGGCTGTTGTTTCATTCTTTGCCTGATCATATTGGTAAGGATCTCTCCACCTTAAAGCCCAGGTCTGATCCCAACGAATTGTTTCTTATGGGACCTTTGACACGAAAAATACAGTGGTGCCCCGCATAGTGACATTAATCCGTTCCGGATTAATCGTCGCTATGCAAAAACATTGCTAAACGGATCGAAAAACCCCATAGGAACACATTAAACTTGGTTTAATGCGTTCCTATGGGGCCCAAACTCACCGTTCAGCGAAGTTCCTCCATAGCGCCACCATTTACCGAGGGCAGGGTGTGAAAACACTTGCGGCGGCCATTTTGGGCATCCGGCAGCCATTTTGGAACCGCTGATCAGCTGTTTAAAAAACATCGCAATGCGAAGATCGGTAAGCGAAATGCTTACCGATCATCGCAATGTGATGTTTTACTCATTAAAACATCGCAATGCGATCGCATTAGCGATCTAAAAAATTAGATCGCTATACGGATTCGTCGTTAAACGGTGCGCTCGTTAAGCGAGGCACCACTGTAAACTCCATCCCTCTTACTCTAAAAGGATTAGAAAGCAAGTGTTGGGGAGGTGGGGGGGAAGAAAGAGCCATTATTTTCTGAGGCCTTAGAGAGAACGGTTGGGAAATCTGATGCTATCCAGATGTTTTGGACGTAAGCCCTGGTCAGCATGGCCAGTGGTCAAGGACCATGGGAGTTGTAGTCTTAAAATCTCTGGAGGGCCTCAGGATGTTCCACGATGGTCCTTGGCTAGATGGGGAAGGTAAGACAGAACCTCTAACGGATGAAGCCGTATCTTACCTTCCCAGTTTGAGCTCTCCAGCGGTTTCCTCACCTTGTCCGGATGGATGGCCAGGATCCCAAGCGCTCGTAAACTCAGGGAACGGAGATCCGGGTTGGGGTCTCTGGCCCAGTCCTCCACACTCCCGAAAATCGGCTCAGCTGGAAGCTGCTCAATATCTTGGCAGTGGAGGAGCTGAGGAAGAAAAAGGGGACCTGCGTTCTAGGTAAAGGCAAAGGTTCCTTGAGTCCAGCCATGTCTGACTCGAGGGGGCGGTGCTCATCCCCATCTCCAAGCCGTAGAGCCAGCGCTTGTCTGAAGATGGTTTCCGTGGTCATGTGGCCAGCGTGACTAGACATGGAACGCCATGAAGCCAAAGTGGGCAAAAAATGCACAGGGTTTGGGGCTCACAATGGCACTCCATTTCTGTATCGGTCATTCCAGAACTGGTGGGAGGCCTGTCCTTCTCCCAGGCTTCTCCCAGTCCACCAGTTTGTCCCAGTAGCTGAACCAGAGAGACAGATCTGGTCCTATTCGGGCACTTTTGGGTTTTTTTTTTATTTTTGGTAACCCTGTTTCTTCAAATCAGAAGGAAATCGATGGGCTTACCTCGATGAAAAAGGCGATGGTGGTGGGCTTGAGTTTCTCGCTGCCTTTGCCGAGGAAGGAGAAGAAGAAGTCCAGGATCCGGGTGGTTTCTGGGCAAGCAAAATGCATGAGCGCTCTGGAACGCACAGAGAGCAGCTGTTTCATTCTATGAAGCCTGCTGCTTTTATTTCGGGGGTGGTGGGGAAGCAGCCCATGTTCCCCCTAGGGAGTCATCTCCCCTTCCCTGATGGTTCCCTAGATCCAATTTCTTTTCTGCAATTTGCCAGTCAAAAAGCCCCAGCATTCTGGGTGCATCTCAGCTGTCTGTTGCGGCTTATGTGACCCCAATGAGTTTGTGACCTCCTCAACATTTGGTCCTCGACCGCCTGGCTCATCTCTTGCAGACACTCAAGGCGGTCAAGAGGACTTTATGGGCACTGCAGAGCCACGGAAAGTTACTCACGCTACCTGGGGGCGGGATTCAGGCTGTTAAACGTCAAAGGCACGAATGCCTCTTAAGGCAGGGGAGGGGGAAATCGGCTCAGACGGAGCTGTGGGTGGATGGCTCTGGGCTGCAAGATGGACTGTCTCTGCGTGACCACAAGGATCTGGAATTCGAGGCGTCTTTGGTCAAGGTCTACCCCTGCCAGAGTCCTGAGAGCAAGAAGGGATCTGGGGCAGAAGGCGGATGAAAAGCCGCTTCCAAAAGTCCAGGCCATGAAGAATCTTCTCAACAGAGACCCAGGAATAAAAAAAGAGTAGCTGACGACTTCCCCGTTGGCAGCTTATCTAGTGCCACGGGGTGACCACTCTAGCCTCCTGTCTAATCCCCGTAGAACCTCGACTTCTCCCACGAGAGCTTGTCTCCCTTTCAACTATTCTGCCCACCCCAGTCACGCTAAGAAGATCTGGCTCTTGTGTTGAGTAGAACTATATGTGCCGCTCAGGAGAGTTATGCATCTTTGGACTACAGCTCCCCCCCGAAAGAACCGGGAACGGGAGTCCCTCTTTCTCCAGGAGGACACCCCTTGCCTGCCATAGCTGGGTGGTCCAGATGGCAGTTTCAGGTGGAGAATGTCAGCATCTATAAAGGTGGGGGGGACATTGCCAAAGAGTTAAGCTGGCAGGTGCTGTGGTATTGCATCTCCGCAAGGAGCCCTGCCTCTATCTACAGTTCATAACATGTAAAATAATAAAATACAGTAGGACACCCTTATCCGCGGGATCAGTATCCGCTGATTCCCTTATCCACGGTCTGAAAATATTAAAAGTTCCAGAAATATAATATCTAAAGATGAGGTTACCAGAATTGGACACTAGATGGAGCCAGAGACCATGCTGTTCATAACGTTCACTAAGTAACAGCGTCTGCTATTATCTGCTATTATCCACATTTTTGGTTCCTGCAGGGGAGCTTGGAAGAGATCCCGCACAGATATGTACATGGATGTTTCATTTCTCTCTATCACATTCTCCCTACCCTGCATCCCAAATCGAGACTTCCTTGGTGCAGAACCATGTTTCTTTGGGTCCCTCCCCTTTAAATGTCAGAACAAAGCTACAGTCTTGGCGGGACCATGTTTTCCCTTTGTCTTCCCAGGGTTTCTCCCTTGCTGGGGCAGGAAGAACTGGACGCAGCAAGGGACGCACCTGGCGAGCAAGGCGACCCCCTGGAGCACCTCCCGGGCACTCTGAAGCATGGCCCAGCCTCGCATCTTCTCCATGAATGTGACCTCATATCGGCAACCGAGGCGGAGCAGCAGCAGCTTGACCGCCTCCACCGCAAAGCTAAGGAAACAAAACGGCTCCGTTAATTCTGGAGGGAGGGAGAAATCTCACTACGTTCCTAGTTTTGCACTTGGGAATCATCCTGACACCTTTGATACAGCCTGCCGGAGAGACTGGCTGCCTGAGTCGGATCTTTTTCGATGGTCTGTTCTGCAGCCCTGCTTTGACTGTGTGGTCCGTATTGCTTGCGCTTTCCCATTTCTCAGAGTGATCTGTGTTTGTTCCTTGTTAATATTTCTATAGGTAAAGGTAAAGGTTCCCCTTGACATCGAGTCCAGTTGTGTCCGGCTCTAGGGCGCGGTGCTCGTCTCCGTCTCCAAGCCGTAGAGCCAGCGTTTGTCTGAAGACAATTTCCATGGTCACGTGGCCAGGTGGTCCCTATTTATCAACTCACATTTTTTACATGTAACTATGTAACTGGAAATGTAATTAAGTTACATTTTAAAAAGGTAATTAAAGATACTTAAAGTTGCTTTTAAAAAGTAATTCATTCCATGTTGCTCAGATGTAGGAAAGAGAGAGAGAAGGTTTCCAAGCTGTGGCAGAGCCTGGAGGTGAGGGTCTGCTCCCACAAGGCTTATGTTTACGGGGATATTAACCTCCTCCTCCAGATGTTCTGAATGACAATGCCCACAAAACTATGACCACCAACCCTGCAAGGCGGGATGTCTGGAAGTTGTAGACCCAAATTACCTGGAGGGCCACAGGTTTTCTAGCCCCGGTTGGGGGGGGGACAACCCCAGAGACGTCGCACTATTAGGACAGATAGAATACCTCGCCAGGCCTTCCCTCGGCCCACTTTCCCTCCTGAGGGGATTCGCGTCCGGCCAGGCTGTGGCCTGGTTGCAGAAATAGAGTTCAGCCAGAAAAGCCGCCAGGAGCTCAGGATACAGCCGCTGGATGACCTCGGTGGATTCGGGCACGGAGAGGACTTCGTAGAGGGCCTGTGTGATCTGGGGATGGGAGTTTGAGAA